GAAGGGATCAGTTATCAGGCATCAAAGAACAAATAATCATATCATTGTGTGCTCACCTCCATGATATGATCACTGAAGACAAATAGGTGCATAAGCAAATGTGGTGAAGAAGGCTGATGGTGGCCGGCTAACAAAAGATATAGCGTCTGGGGTTTTAAAGGCTCGAGGATAAACAAGTGGCCATCTAGCTCAGAAGCAACAAAGCCTAGATGGAAGAGGCACACCAGCCTGTGTGACCACGAGGTGTCAAAGGGATCAGGTATTAGGCATCTATGGAAAACAAAATCATATCATTGTAAATGAGGGTGAGTGCAGAATGGAGACCCAAAGCCTAGCTGTAGGCAACTGGACACCCCATTACAGAAGGGTGGTGGGGAGGAGATGAGCCAGTCAGGGTACAGGGTAGCAATGACGAAACATACAACTTTCCTCTAGTTCTTAAATACTTTTTCCCCCCACTATCATGATCCCAATTCTATCTTACAAATCTGGCTAGACTAGAGGATGTACACTGGTACAGATAGGAACTGAAAACACAAGGAATCCTGGACAGATGATCCTTTCAGGACCAGTGGTAAGAATGGTTATAATGGGAGGGTGGAGGGAAGGTGGGATAGAAAGGTGGAACCGATTACAAGGATCTACATATAACCTCCTCCCTGGGGGATGGACAACAGAAAAGTGGGTGAAGGGAGATGTCAGACAGTGTAAGATAAGACAAAATTATAATAATTTATAAATTATCAATGGTTCATGGTGGGGGGGAGGGAAGGAGGGAAGGGTGAAAAATGAGGAGCTGATACCAAGCTGATACTCAAGTAGAAAGAAAATGTTTTGAGAATGATGATGGCAACAAATGTACAAATGTGCTTGACACAATGGATGGATGTATGGATTGTAATAAGAGTTGTATGAGCCCCCAGTAAAATGATTTTTTAAAAAAAGAAAGAAAGTCAGACTGAAGAAAGATGGAAAATAAAATATATTAATATAAATATTCCTTGATTTATTTATTTCCTTGATGAATTATTCAATTTCCTTATATGGAAACGTGGAAATATTCTGATGCAATATAAATGTTATTATCTGATAAATGTCCTTTGTTGCTTTCTTGGAAGACAGATTTAGAAACTCAGTTATTTTGCACCATAAGGAAGCATTGAATTTTGTACCCTCTTAAAAATAAATAAATAAATAAAGCATTGAAACCTCGTTCTGAAGCTGGGAGTGGGTTGGATCCTCAGGGTGTGTTGGAAAACCCTCCCAGGATTCAAACTTGTGGCTACCTCAATCAATTTTTTTCCTTTGAGAACTGTCTAGCAAAAGAATTTTTTAAAAGAACTTCCTTTAAGTGGCCATCTAGATGAGACCAAATGGTCAGCAGTTACCTTCACGCAAAACAGAAGGAAGGTAAGGGGAGGGAACCTAGAAGACTAGAAACAGGCCAACCAGAAAGGAAGTCATGAGAATGTTGGCACATTGTAAAAAAAATGCAACTAAGGTCACTGAAAAATTTGCGTAGAAATTATTGATGGAAACACTAATTGACTTTCACCAAAAATATCTTTATGATTGTGTTTTTTTAAGGCCTTCCCTGCCTTTTAGTTGTTGGGAAAAAAGGAAACAAGGGACCAATTTTGGGAACTATGCTTAGGCCAAAGGTAGCCCTTGGGGCAGTGGGCTGAGCAGAGAAGCTGATGGAAACTGGTCAGGGAATCAGAGCATATGGTTTGTGGGTCCCTTGCTGAGGGACCCTGGGTACAACCTAGTTCCTTGGCACTTGGTCTCTCCTTTATTATTCGGGTTGGGCCAGGGAATTCAGAGAGGCTTAGGTACCATGAAGGGCCAGGGAGAAGCTGTTTACTTCCTCCTGGTCTCCTAGGCAAAGCTTTCTTCTTCCCCTTCCCTGCTCTCAGTCCCCTGCACCCCTATGGCTCTGGGAATCGGGCTCTTGGGGGGACTGAGCTGTTGTGCTGTGCTGACGGGAAGGGCGGGAGGGCCGTGGGGAGTAGATGTGTAGGTAAAACGTTCCACCTGCCTCCTCTCGGCAGTCTCTGGTCCTGCAGCTCTTCTTTGTCTCTTTCGCTTGCTCTTGTCCTCACTCCTGCTCTTGCTCTGCCTCGTGGTGACATTTGCCCCCTCCCCGTGTCCTCTGTCGGCTTTATTTACTCGGTTTGCTCAGCTGTCTGTGCGTCCTTATTCTCGATCACTTTCTCTACAGGAGCTCTCCTACTTGTCTCCGCTCTGTCCCACCCGAGAACTCAGTGTGAGAGGAACTAACTCCCCCTTGTCCATCAAGTTTCCAGCCTCAAGGAAGGGCCATTACTCGCCCGGCTGCCCACCTCCTCTTGAGCCTCTTTCCCTTAGGAAGGTTTTCCTGGGAGAGAGTGACTGGCAACCCCTCAGTGCTGAGCACTGGTAGGCCCTCGCGGAGTCTTCCTCATCTCTTCTTGCTGTAGCTGGTGCCTGGCTTCACCCGGCTGGCTCTTGGCAGCACATGATCTCTCCTAGTCCCCTTCCTCCAGTCTGGCTTTGGGGACATGGGAGATGGTAATGGCACAGCAGTGACTGCATTTGTGTTGCTGGGATTCTCAGGTTTGGGCTACCTCCAGATCCCCCTCTTTTGTGGGGTGCTCTGCATCTACCTGGTTACCTTGCTGGGAAACGCTTTGATCATCCTCCTCACGCTGGTGGATCCCGCCCTGCGCTGGCCCATGTATTTCTTCCTTCGTCACTTCTCCGTGGTGGAGATCCTCTATACTACAACCATCGTGCCTCGGATGCTGTGGGATCTGCTCGCCTCCCACCCTACCATCCCACCAACCAGCTGCTTCACTCAGCTATATTTCTTTGCCCTCTTTGGCATCACTGAATGCTGCTTGCTCACGGCCATGGCCTATGACCGCTATGTTGCCATCTGCCAGCCCCTGCATTATGCTACTCTGATGCACCGGGGAGCCTGTTGGAGTATGGTGGGGGCCTCTTACCTCATGGGCATCATCACTGGCACTATTCATTCCATCTGCATCTTCACCCTCCCCTTCCATGGTGCCAACACTATCCACCACTTCTTGTGTGATATTCTACCTGTGCTGAAACTGGCGAGTACAAGCACCTTCTGGGGTGAAGTGGGGAATCTTGCTGTCACCGTCGCCTTTATTGTGACCCCTTTTTTATTGATCATGGCCTCCTATGCCTGCATCCTTACCACCATCCTTGGGGTCGCAACATCCCAAGGACGTCAAAAGATCTTCTCTACCTGTTCCTCCCACCTGTTTGTGGTCATACTTTTCTTTGGGACCGGTACTGTTGCCTATATGAGGCCTTGGGCAGATGATGCACAGGACACGGATCAGGTGCTTGCCTTCTTCTACACAATAGTCACCCCCATGTTCAACCCTTTTGTCTACACGCTGAGGAATAAGGAGGTGACAGGGGCCATGAGGCGGCTGGTGAAGAGACATCTTGGGAGTTCGCGATCCCCTTGAATTTTGGAGAGAAACTGCTTCTTGGACATGCTGGAGGAGCGAGATGCTGACCCTATGGTCCTCAAATTTGACCTGCTCCATCTTGTCTGAATGTGAGGTTCCCTACATTGCTTAGCTTAAGAGTCCAAAGCACTGACCTGCAACTCAGAACTCTTCCTCTGAAGCCCGTTGGTATAGCCTTGACCTGACTTGTGGTTGGGGACAGAGCTGAGAGGTATGCACTTGAGGAGGGACTGCGAAGGGAAGGTGGACATGATGGTCTTGCGTGATGATTGAGCAATGGCTGTTTTGTTTTTGTTTTCCCTGAGGCTCACCACTCTTTCCCAGGGTTATGATTCCCAGTGATGTTGCTCTGCCTCCTTCTCCAGGAATCTGCTGATTACAAGCTTTGCTCTCTGCAACATCATGGGTGCAACCAGAACTGTATTCCAGGTGCAAGTTCTAGCTTGGGCATCAGATGGCAGGGAAAGAATACAGGCAGGGAGTAATTCCTCTAGTATCAAATTCATCCAGTGTTGCTTTAGATTTAGAGACATTTGTCTAGTTGTGTGTGTGTGTGTGTGCGGTTTTTTTTTAATGGACTTTAGTTTTCTTTTTAAGAGAACATTTGTTATAGTCTTAAGCAGGACAAGGGGAAGATTAAGACAAAAAAGATTAACCAGATGTGGAGACCATTGGTATGGGGTCATAATGGTGTCCAAGGTTTTGCTGATATACAGAACTTTAGAAATGACATGGGAGGTCAAGGAGAACTGTCACACATGCATGGCAATTAAAAACATCATAGTTATAGGTTGGGTTCCTGGAACAGGAATGGGGCCATGATTGAGATATGTATGTTGTGGAAGACATAAGGGCTTACAAGACTGGTCCAGGAGCCTCCCTAAGGCAGTCTGGTCATGACTCAAGTCTGTTGGACCCCATTTGGTGATCTCCGTCAAAGACACACGTAGGCAATCCCTCAAGGGAAACGGCCTTCCCTGGGCTTATCAGGTGGGTGGGGGTAACGTCCCTTCCATTGCACTCTGTCTGAGGGCATGGCCATTCTTATACTTGGTTGATGTTCAGAGAGGATTCAGTGGAGGTGGTATCCATATAGTTGTTCTGCTCTTGACTTACAAATTCCACTCTGGATTGTGGAGGTATTAGTATTATTTCTCCCTGGCTAAATTTTTCTCCATTTCCTCTTGGCCGTAGGTGTTCTTCTCAGCTTCAGTAGACCTGCACCATCCAACTCTTTTTCCTGACTCTGATCTTTCCCCTAGACTTCTTGTAGAATCCTCTTGTTTCTTGCACATGGTGGGCCATTTCCCCTTGGAGTCCACCTTTGTTGGCCAGAGGGATTTAACACCCTTTTAACTTTTGGCGGGAAACAAGTTTTTGCTAGTTTGTGAGCTCTCCTTCCACCATAAACCACTGGGGGCAGCATCACAAATGGAAATAACTCAAAACAGTGTAATTAAAGGCCTTGAAACAGCATTGCTTTTCTTTCCCTGTTTACAAAAGTTGTACATGTCAATTGCAGAGAGTTTTGCATCCAAAAGAAAAAAAATGGTTCACATTGTAGTGTTTATAATACCCTTGGGATGTTTTTCCTCTGTGTATATAGATAAATATGAGTATTTCTCTAATGGGATTATATTGTCAAACTGCTCTGTAATAGTTACTTTCCACTTTATTAAATGATATGTAACATTCTATCATATCAGCAGATTTCTGAAAGATGATGTTACTATCCATGTTGTATTTTATTATATGTATATACTATAATATCAAGCAATCTCCCATTATTGGATTATTTTTTTTCATTTTTTGTTATAAACACTCCTGACCTGGATATTATTACATTTAAATCTTTGCAAACATCTCTTGGGCTTTTTCTTAGCACAAACTTCTAAAAATGAAATTCCTGAGTCAAAAGGCATCCTAACCCTAGAGATTTTGAAGCATGCTGCCAAATTGCCCTCCATAAGACTTCTTGTGGGTGTAGAGTCCAATTAAGAGCCCCTTCTCACCAGTTTCAGGTCAGGGAATTGGACTGAGAGTCAGAAATAGGTTGAGGTTAGATGGCCCAGAGATGACAAGGTATGGATTTTACTATTCCTCTCTTGCAGAAAGGATTTGAAGAGGACACAAGCTCACTGTCTCTCAGTTTACTAAGACCAGGCTAGCTCTGATGGTGCTGTGGATTAGACACTATAAAAGGTTTGTAGTGCAAACCTACCACCTGCTCAGCAGGAGAGAGATGAAGTTGTGTTCTCTTATAAAGACTGACAGTCTTGGAAACCCCACATAGAACCACTATGAGTTAGAATTGACTGGGTGGCCGTGAGTTTGTTTGTTTGTTTTTGTTTGTTTGTTTGTTTGTTTGTGGTTAGGTGAGACAGAATTTGGCAGAAAGTACAACATAAGGTATTGAGAGGATCAGTACGTGAACAAGACAAGGATCCCCAGGGGAAGAGGACATGATAGTGTTGAGCTGGCTCCGCCTTATGTGGCTTGGTGCTTTCTCGCCGGAGTTGGTGATCATCAGTTCTGGAGGTTAAGGCCTTTGCTTTCAGAGTCTCCAGGTTTAAAAAAAATTTTTTTTTAATATTAAACGATGCCTTACAAAATATTTGGCCCGAGGGATTTGGCACCATTTTTATCTGGATAAAGAAACATCTGGCACATATTTTTACTAAAAATTACTTGTTGTATGTATGAAATTTAACTTTAGGTATCCTGTATTTTCAGTTGCTGGATCTGGCTAGTCTATTCTGAGGTCTTGTTCAAGCAGGGTTGAAGTTGCAGGTAGAGGTGAGAATTTGAGTGCAAGTAGATTCTTTTCAAGAACAAGGAAGCTGCCTTGGAAATAAAGTCGTTCCTCCTGACGTGAATTATTTGTGTGCCCAGAGACTGACTCCTAGTACCTGTGTGAAGTTTGACCCTCTCTTAAGTACAAAAGCAGATATGGAAGACTGGGGAGGGAGGAGTCCATGTCTGCCCTTGGGAATAAGAGACACTGAAGAGTAGAGGGGGGTCCTTTCTTTTCTTGGGAAGTCTACACGTGGACACTATGATGATGGAGTGAACTGTGCTCCTCCATATACATATTGTAAATCCTAAACTCTACTCCTGTGGTTACAGACTTTTGATTATAATCCCATTGGGAATGTGCTGTCTTCCCATGAGACAGGGCTAGTGTAAGGTGTGTAAGTCAAAATAAAATATTTTTGAGCTATAAAAGAGATTAAACAAGCAAGCAAGAGAAGCATAGATGGTGGAAGAAAGATGCCAAGTGTGTTAGACAGGGTTCTCTAGAGAAACAAAGCCAGGACACTTATGATTACAGTATATATATCAAAGGATAGGTTTATATAGCAAGAAGGAATACAACAGCTAATTAGTCCACACAGTAGTACAGAGGGCTCAGTCCAACTCACTTTAATGGGACAGTTCATATACTGAAGGTCCTCCCAATTAACACCCGCCACTAGTCAAGGTCGAGGAAGCAGACAGCAAAGTGGCTGGTGGGAGTTGCAGAGTCTGCTTGCAGGCCAGATGAGCAGAGTCAGGCAGGCAGCAGACACAGCAGGGTGGGCGGCAACGGCAGGAGGATGGGATGTTGAGGTGTAGCAGAGGCCAGCAGCACGCAAGCAGCTTAGCAAAGCAGTCCTGATGGAGCCTCAAGGCATAGCAAGGCACGGCATGATGAAAAAATCCACCACCATCCACAGGTTGGCTCAGCCCACAGGTAACACAGAGCAGCTAACTTAGGCGGCCGCATGCTGGTCTGATCACCAGAGAGAAAGAGGAAGAGGCCTGCCTTGGAAAGCCATTTATCTCGGTCACCCTCCAATCAAGCTGAGACCTGATTGACAGGTTAAACTGCACCCACAGGTTCCTACGAGAGCCATGTTAGCACCCAAAAAAACTACCTATCACACCAAGCTACATGAAGATTGCCCAGGAACCGAAGCTTAAAAAGACAAGGACACGCTTTCAAATCCTTTCCCTAAAGCAGGCACCCTGAATTAGAACTTCTGGCTTCCTAAATGGAGAGAAAATAAATATTTGCTAAAGTCATTCACTTGTGGTATTTCTGTTACAGCAGTACTAGATAAATAAGACAACTGTGTAGTTGGTTAAGGGAAGTTGACCAGAAGGATGGGTTGTTGTGCAATCGTTTAGAGTGTTAGGCATACCTGAGATCAAATATTGACTGTCACTTAATTATTTGGGGCATATTTCTTAACATCCTCAAGTCCTATGTTGTCATTGATTTTATCATCTGTAAAAGAGTGACTATGATGTTGCTGTTGCTGACCAACCCACTGCCATTGAGTTGATGCTGCCTCATGGAGACCCTCTGTAGGATTTCTGAGACTGTAAATCTTTACCAGAGTAGACACTTTTATCTTTTTCCTGTGGAGCAGCTGATGGGTTTTCACGCTCAACTTTGTGCTGAGAAGTTCAATGCTTACCTGACAGCATCATCAGGGATACTTGTTGTCAGGTGCCATCAAATCGACTCCAACTCATAGTGACAAGAGACTGAAACAGTGCCTAGACCATCGCCATCCTCACAATTGTTGTTTAAACCCATGAACACAGTCAATGTGCCAATCAGCCTCTGCCTTACCAAGTATGATGTCCTTTTCCAGGGATTTATCTCTCCTGATAACATGTCCAAAGTATGTGAGATAAAATCTCACCCTCTTCTCTCCTAAGGAGCATAAATGTTGACCGTGGATCCAAGGAAATGAAGTTTCAATCTTTCTCCATTTATCATGATGTTTTCTACTGGTCCAGTTGGGAGGATTTTTGTTTTCATTACATTGTATTATATGCAATTCATACTGAAGTCTGTAATCTTTTATCTTCACCAGCAAGTACTTCAGGCCCTCTTCATTTTCAGCAAGCAAGGCTCTGTCATCTGCATTATTAATCCTTTAATCCTAAAACTGAGCTCAACTTCACATAGTCCAGTTTCCTGGATTATTTACTCAGCATACAGA